TGTTACATCTTAAGATTTACAACAAAGTTGATTTGTACAGTTTTTCTTGAAGATGTAGTTGTAGGCTGTATGGACCAACGATGAAAACAGGAGGTGTGTAACCTGCGTTACGTCCCATCTTTTCAGTGTGTGTACATAAAATTCTAATAAAAATAAATTACAATAAAAATAGCCTGGAATAGGCAAGGAATAAACTGCATAGCGCCTTCAAGCTTCTATCACATTCATCGATGTAGTCACATAGGTAAGCAAAGCAAACAATCCTGTTTCTGAAGTCACCCTGCAACTTGTGGGACTACTAGGCTGGTTCTACCAGTTCATTACTGTTATAAGAAACAAGATAACTTTGTCATAATGACACTCTTGGAGGGCTGGTTGGAAACCGCTGTTCAACATGTTCAATGTTTCTTTTTACCTAGTTTTTATCTAGTCCCACATTAGGATTTTGTCCTGTGTCATAGGTGTGGGTGCGTTTACAAACATTCAAGTTCACATACACAATGACACCCAGAAACTGAACAACATCTGTAGATCACACAAACAGTTTTTTCGTGCGGGTATCGAATCCGCGTCACGTTGCGCGATAGCCAGTTGCCCAGCCACCGCACCAAACGTGAACTCAATCAGTTAATATCTCAAGCAATCGCGAGAGGTTTAAATGGGGTGTGAATGTATATTTCTCTGCTGTCACCTGGTCTATGGTGCACTCTAATAGCAAGCAACGAGGAGTACAAATACAGTACAGTAACAATCGAATATGTTTGCACTGGTTTTTTTTTTAAGGGTTGAAAATCATCGAATGACTGCTCCCGCCTGGTTGAGGCGGGAGGGAGTGCCAGACTCTTACTGACTAAAAACCACCCCGTTCCTTCTCCTGCACGTCGAGCCGGAGCTCCGGTTACCCGTTAGGTTCTCCGCGACTCCGAATCGGCAACGGCCCTATTGGGCCCCATCTGTGGTGGTCTGATGACTCTTTGAGGCGTACGCTCGGGTCTGTTTCTGGTCGGACGGGGAGCCACCCATGCTCGCCGTCCGCAGGCCCGCGCTTACGGTGGCCGGAGATCGTCCCGCGATCCCCGACGCCCGGTGTGTCCTTCGCGATGGCACTGGTCTAGTATTCTGTGACCGATCTGAACCGCTCGAATGAACCAACCAATCACAGCGCCGAACGCGTACTCGTTTCGAATACTTTAAACGTAAAACAAACTCGTACTAAGGCCTCTACTAATATCACGTTCATTTTGATCCACGTTTTAGTATAACCCTAACGTAATGATTTTGCCGAAGTTATTGGGGGAGGCCTATGTTCAGCAGTGGAAGTCCTGTGGCTGATATGATGATAATGATCATGATTGATTTTGGTGACTGGATAGGTACTGCATAAGTACCAAACACACACACACACACACACACACACTACAACAGCAACGATTTTGTACATAAACTACATAACATGCGTACTATACCCATAACGTACCTTTAAGGTCAGGGTTGCCAAATTATATTCAGAATGGGGTTGCCAAAGCGATAATATTTTTAGGGAAAAAATATCATTTTCAAAGGTTCCTACTTTACGTGACTAGCATATTTTTATGAAGGTATGGTTAATATCGTGAAAGCTGTTGGTTGATCGTATATACATGCCGTATGATACAGTCAGAATAGAATACATACATTTACCATTTAGCACTTACCTCCAGCCCTGCTCTTCTCGCGGGCGTATGAGCCGTATAAAGAACCTTCTATAAAGAAACAGTTCGGTACAGGTAGACAAATCTGTTCGGGTCGGTACAAATCGGCACAGGTCTATTAAATATAATATATGCCACGCAGACGGCACCTGTTTCTTTATAAGTGAGTATTCCTACGTCGATCGGTACCAATCCATATAGACCTGTTGCTTTGTGTAACCACCATTAGGGCCAACACATTTATCGGTGGGCAGCAGCCACAGATGAATGTAACGAGCTGTTGATTTCGTTGTTGACAACTACAACAACAATAATCAACTGTAAATGTTAAAATTTTATCAGCCCTTATTCCCACTTCAGTATTTTTCTTTTTTTAACCTTGACATATATCGCACCTGTTCAATATTTTATAAAGTAGCGTATGAATACTTAACATGTATTACTTTATACCCAAAGTTCTGAGCTGGATATAAAAATAAGGTATTTTCAAGATTCGCGTAGATACCTTACACATTAATTTTACTGAGTGCAGCATTGACATTCTTCATTTTGAATTAATATTCGTTTGTTTAAAAATGTTCACAATAACCTTTGCATATTAATTGTTATTTACATTTTTCTATTTAATAAGAACTACTTTACAATTTGATAAATCAACACACAAGAAGAGAGAGAACACGCAACATGGTGTACAGCAGCTGATCCCATAGCCACAAAATTATATTCAAAAGTTTAAGAACAAAAATAATGATTAATTCAATTGATTTGCACTGCGAGTCGTACCTTCAAATGTAACTAAAACAATGTGACCTAAACAATTTTCGAACAAATATTAGAATACAAACATAAAATACTTCCGCACACAACTTTCAACTTAAACAAGTATAAACATAAGTATCATATTTAAATAAGCAAATGTTGACATTGCAAAAAGTGCCGCGCTCATCAAATACGCGGGAAAATCGTAACATGGCGGACGTCCCACTGACACAATTCGCCATTTTGTATTTACATACGCAGACTCGCGTCGTTGCCTTATTTTTTGTAATTAATTTTTCCTCGCGGGAGAAACCTGAATATTTAATTGTAGAGCTTATAAGTTTAAGAAAATATTTTAGTTAGGTTATGTTACTGTTGAGATGAGGTTACGCAACGTGAATTTGTTATAGATGGAAGATAAACGCCTAACATGGTTGATCTTTGTATTTATGATGTCCAATCCTACTTGACATATCACTCACTCTTCTCTCTGTCGGTCTCCTAGACTTATCCCAAATTGATGACACTAAATCATAACGAAATTTAGCCAATGATTTTTACATGAGCATATTTACATTTAAATTTAAATCGAAAATCCATCTAACTACTAGGGACTGTAAAAAACGAGGTTTACAAGATCAAAACAGATAAGAAAAAAGCAGTCAGTTGAAAAGAAAAAAACGATTTGTGTAATCGTATGTCACCCACCTATCTTCACAAACATCAATGTTTAAGAATTCGCCATAAAAAGTCCCCATGAAACCAGCTGCCCCGGTCGTACCACCATACATCGGTACAACTGACACAGTTTAAAAAACCTGCTCAAACAACCTGAGGATTTCACTTGAGACC